CCTCTCCAGTTTAGAAGTACTAGTTTTCAGATGCTAGAATCATTGTAAATTATCTTATACACAAACCTATTTTAAAATCTCTATGTAAATATAAAGTTAGATATTTAAACTGATAAGCTGAAACCTGAATCATAAATTATACAAAAGAAAAATTAACATAAAAATTTACTTTGCATGAATTAGCTTACCAAATCTTTCCTCATACTATTTCTATAACTATATGATGCCATTTATATGAAGTTCAAAAAGGAAAAAAATAGAATATATTGGTTATAGACTAGTTAAGTTTATAAAACTATAAGAAAAAGTAAGAAAGTAATTACAAAATTCAGGGTAAATTCCATCTCCTGGATGGAAATGAGAGGACTGTGATTTAGAAGGGGCATGTTGGGGGCTTCAGGAGTACTGGCAACGCTCCAGTTCTTGACCTATATCATGGTTACACAGGTTCCCATTTTGTAACAAGTCATTAGATCAAACATTTATGTTTTAACAAACAAAACCAAAATATTTAAGGCCTTATTAAAATGGCATCAGTATTTAGAATTTCTTAAGGCACAAAAGATAACAATAAAATAAACTGTATGTACATATAAATATCTATTTCAAAAACAGGCCTTCTAAACCAAGGGTCCATGGATGAGATTTCATGTGGTTTCCTAAAATAGGGTTCCTAGCTTTTGTTACATCTCAAAAAACTAGAAGAACAATGTGCAAATGTGGAAATATCATCTAGGTATTAATGCAGGTCCAGCTATCTTAGAAGTAATTAAGTTCCAAAATTATTCAAACGACAGACTAAAACATATCTAACAGTGGAAGAATTTCTGGTTAGGGAAATCAGCTTCACTCATACAGTTAAAAATTCAGATATGCTTAAACCCAAATATTGTTTCTGATAAAAAAAAAAAGTTAAGTAAATAACTGCTGGCTTTAGCAGCATTTGATGGAGAATCTTTTACATACATTTGTAATAGATGAAAAATAAATCAGATTACAAATTATTTTTTTAAATGCTTAAACTATGTACCAAGATTTGTCCAAATTGCGTAGAATAAGTTAAAACTTAAATTGCATTCTATTCACTAATATGAATGTATTTCTGTAAAAAGTTATTTTTAAATAGTTTTAAATGTTTATTTATTAAATTAAATAAATAAATAAATAAATAAAATTTAAAAGTTTATTTATTAAATAAATAAAAAGGCATTTTTTTCTTTAAAAGATAATTGCTTGTTTAAAGCAAAAGCATAATAATAATTTGTGGAGTTATGCAGAAGCAAAATGTATGGCAACAACAGCATGAAAGGCAGGATAAGGGAAATAGGAGTATATTGTAATATTTATATTTTATGTAAAGTAATATTATTTGAAGGAGGATACAATAAGTTTAAAACAAAAGTATTAACTCTAACCCAACCAGTAAAAAGATCTAGAAATGTGTATGTATGTATATATATGTTCATGTATGTACATATGAACATATACAACTAGAAAATCTATTTTCTACATTTTAGAAATATGTTTTTTACCCATATATGCAGTATATTGCCATTCAAGAAATTTATATGTCTTGGTTTTGTTTAATTTTTCTAGTAAAATACTTACACTATATATACACAGTAATAGAGAAAATAATATATAAAATATA